CAGTTTCGACTGTGATTTTTGTTACTCAACGTACAATTTTGTGTAGCCTTAACCAGAAGAAGCCCGATCATGTAAGATACATGCAGGTTCTTTCTCCTCCTTCATATATTGATTTTGTTTTTTTTTCTAAAGAATTTTAATTGAAAATCAGGTACAGGAAATTAAGTTCCGGTGTTTTGCTTTCGAATCGGTTTTCAAAACAATAGTGTTTTTTTTATTTGTTTCCGAGGCTGATAAGCTGCGATTAAAAAAATCATTGTTTAAAAATAGATGGAATTTGCTGAATACTGATTTCTCGACCTTGTTGAAAAGATTGTTTTAGATAATAATTATCAGAGATTTCAGGTTTTATCATTGAATAATGTACGGTGTTATCCAGAAGTAGGTCTCATGAAAATTTCAATGGGGCTTTCATTAGCGGTTTATAATAATCAGATTGAATGCAAACTTGATATTTTGTGAATCTTTATTTAGGATTTCAATTGAAATATTTTCAAGTTGTTTTTTCAAGCGGCATAACGGAGGTTCGGTATATATAATTATTTTCTTTATTGCATTTTAAACCTCGCTGTATTCTATGGTATTTTCACATTTCTTGGCAAATTTAAGAATAACTTCATTCAATGACTAACTGTACTTAAATTTGATCTTTTTGAGCTTTTAACAATTGTTGAATCCAACGAGTGATAAATTAAGTACGGAATTTACTTTTCAATAATGTTTCGCACCGACTCAGATTGCTATATCCAGTAAATCTACGCCACCCATGTGACGATTATATTTCTTTATAATAAATGGACAACTTATGGAAACCTTTTTCTTCTGTTTCTTATCATGCCGTTTCGTTATACCAAGAGAAAGTTCTCCTGCAATCGTGGATAACAACGTAACGGTTTTGTCGTCTCTCCATGCTGCCACAGATCGTTCAAAATTTTCGCAATTACCCACAAATTTAAGAGGTTCCACGTTCGATTTCCTTCTCCATGTGTAGTTTTCAATTTAGAAGTCTATTTGGATTCTGTATCTGTAGAGTAGGGAGGGTGAGTGTAGACCCACAGCACTTAGGTCACATGTGACCCATTGTACATCCTCCCGAGGAATTGTCCTCCTAGGTCATCGTCCATCCTGTCCTTTCCAGGAGGGTGGACAGGTCACTAGGAGACTTCTCCTTTATATTGGCAGGTATAGGCCAAGACTCGTCGAACACACACTCTCTTTGACAACCTTGAGGTGTCTCACGGCAGCCTCCGCGAAGGTTTTGGAAGGTGCAGCGACATTATTGTCGTTGCGCGGCTTCTTCAACCTTCTTGGGGTTCCCTCCGTGTAGGTGCACAAGTGAGGGAGCTTTCCTGAGGGGGCGGCCGGTTCCTTGCCGTCATTCAAGGCGGAGCTCTTGGCGCCCGCCGCAGGAAGTGCCCTTGCTGTTGGAGGTGGAGTGTTTGGTCACCTCTGGCAGAGCCCCGCATTACCAGAGGTAGGCTGATTACAATGAGGTTTCGCCCAGTCTCCCAAGAGGATCGTTCGTAACCGCATATCACCCTGCGGCCATTCAGCTGTCGGCACAATTCCTTACACCTTACCTTGGGTAGGCTGGTCCCCGGTGGCTGTTTTGCAAAGGCTTTTGGGGAGTTTTAGTTCCCCTCACCATACTTATTTTTGCCACTGACCAGAAGTCCGGCTACCCCGTCCGTAAGGCCACATTGGCTTGCCGGACAGGGCCTCCAGTTCCCTGGCCGTTCTCCTATCCGCCACCTGGGAACGCGCCCGATGGGTAGCCCAACCCACGGGGTCTATTTGGATTATACCTAGAAAATATATTACATTTTTTGATATAGGGATAGAGGTATAGTAATTGTCAAAATATGTTCTGTGAAATTTGGAATATACTATTCAGTTGGACACTGAGGATTGCCTTGGAAAACAAAAAAAACACTTTAAGTTTTTTTTCTTATTTTTCAACGTGTGCTTTCTTTTGATAATTATACATTTCCAACACAATTTCACACATCATACTAGTTCTATAAAACGTAACGACAATTATTAAATGAATTGTTTCAGAATTCATTTTTGGAGTTATGATCACAGAACACAGAGTCGTGTTACACGTTACACTCGCCATTGTCACCTATTACACCCTTTTGGAAGGTAATGACCAATAACGATACGGTTGCCTATAATTTTCCGGCTCACTTTAATACATGTACTACTTTGTTTATTTCCACAAATAGATACAATTGGTTAGCGAGAATACATAATGAACATGTAAATTTTGTAAGCCCAGGTCCACATTCTCCTTTATTGGTCTGCATTTTCTTCAAGGATTCCATCAATATTTTTCTGTTATTTTTCACCTTTCTTCTTCGAATTTCTTTTCAAAAAAACTACTTGCCACCGTGATAGTCAATATCTCGGATTTTCCCTAAGGGTAGGAACTCGTTTCTCTTTAATATGGAAATTAATTATGCATCTGCGTAAAATTGCCAAATCAGCATCATCCATTACAATTTTGGAATGCTACCAGTCCCTCCAATTCAACATGTGTGGAGAAAAGGGTGCAATCTATTTGTATACGTATTCACTATTTATCTAGGTTTGTTTAGAATTTGACAGAATAATGTTACTTAGGATTCTTTTATTTCTTTTTAGTGGTTGACCCAAACGCATGCGAACTAACAAGTGCCCTGTATATTGACCTACTTTTTCGAATATCCAACATTCTATATTTTTAATGAAAGCTTCAACCACATCATGCTTAAAGTTGCGTGCAGCAGTTCAGAATATTGAATATTTAATGGAGTAGCTAATCAAATATACATAAACTCTTTTTACCTGTTGTGTACACATTGGTGATTAAGAATTCACCTATTATTTGTATTGACGAATGATAAAGTTCCATAATTGACCTGTGCTAAGGATTAACGAGTTCTTACCTTTTAACGGGTGATTCCTAGCATGGGTGAGGATATTGGACCGATATCCGCTCAAGAATCGATCTCCCTTCCAAAAAATATCCTCATCTGACGGATGTTTCTCTCAAATTACGATCGAGGTGAAAAAAGTCTCAATTCAAATAGGAATTACAAAAAAAATACAAAAGGAAAGAAACACTCAACCATTAACTGTAAAATATAAGAATTATATGATATTAGTAATTTTTAAATGTAAGAAAAAATATAATAAATAAGGCATAATAGTTGATTTCTCAATTTCACAATAATAATATATTTCCATCTCTTCTTAACAACTAATTCCAACATTTTTTTGCTTTGTCAAGTCAATTTTTTCATTCAAGTGAATGCGGTTGACAATGTTTGCCTAAACATATTGTTGTAAATCATGCCCGAAAGAAAATAAAGCCGGCCGCCGCTGGTAGCCATATACCAGGCGTGACGTGTCTAAGAGCGCGCGAGTGTACGATGATTCCCCGCCACTCGAGAAGCACCGAGAATAATGCTACCGACTTCGACAGAACTTTGGCGAAATTTCTACCACACTCGATTACGATATTTATAGGCTAGCCACGAGGATATCGACACAGTTAAGTGAACGTTACAGTGCGGTACGTGAAGTGATCTAGTAAGGCGATAGACATTCAAATAATAGTTGAAGTTCACTTGAAGTGTTTCTTGTATTTAAAGTGAAATAAAATTAAGTTTGATAATTCAGTGTAGTCAATTATTGGTAACATTATTAACAGAGTTGAAAATAGAATACTCTTATAATGGAAGACCAAAAGTCGAAACTAATTATGAAACTGAAACAAATAGTAGTAGTGAATGTAATATTAAAAACAAGGAAATTTAAAAAAGAAAGCATTTATAAGTTATTCATGATGTTTCGTTATAATCATTTCAATATGATACAACGCTATGTTTTCGAACCCAGAGCGCTTTAAGGATTTTCATGCAGGGCTTGTGCGTAACAAAGATTTTTTTGTAAAAAGCATATAGGGATTACTGTATCAGCATGCTATCCGGTAAACGCAATTTTTATCATTATTTTTAATCGAGTTTGGTCGTTTGGTTCCAAACTCTTCAGGAAGAGTTTGGGACATTTGTATAGATCAACAAAATCAAGAACTACTTAGCAATTTCGACGTAGGAAGGGTTGAGATGATATCAACAAGGGAAAAGAATCCTGGACATAACAACCCACTCCAGTAGAGTAAAAATTGGACATGAGCTGACAGGATATATATGCTCACGAAGAGAAATCTTGTATTTCGCCTTAACGGAATGAGTTGTGAATACTAACAAAAATCGAAACTTGGTCAAAAACTCAGTTCGAACTAACTCATTTGAGTATCTGAAAATTTTTCAACAATGAAAGTCCTGAACTCGTAACATTTTCTATATTCTGTATATTATTCTGAACATTAATTTATAATAATTTGATTGTTCATAAGTTACTGATTATTTTCATTGTTGAATACATGCGTTTTGGAAAAAATTACATTGTTCATAGTTGAGTAATTCCCAAATACGATGAAGATATTGTACAAGAGCGATAATGATACAGTGGACTGTATTCATTTACAATAATGGTATGACATTACCAACACATGATAATGTGAACACTTGCCAGTGTTTGTGGTCAGAGTGTTTTTGGGAGAACCACAAAATATCAAGATCTTGCATGACACGTGAATATTGAAACCGATTGTATAATAATCCTGAGTTTTATAGGTATACTTTACCTCCAAGATAAGGACAGCCAGTATGTGAAAATGGGAAACATTGAGAGATTCAAAGTCACCTAAATTATTAAAACGTTGCCTTCAAATGATGTTTCGAAACTTAGAAAATTCCGATAAATAGAGAAGATATTAGAAAATGACCAAAATTCGACAATTTTGTTGCATTTTATTCTAGTGTTATTTAAGAAGATATTAAAAAGGAAACTCTAATTTTTTGATGATGATTTTACAAAATTCCACGAGACGCACCAAATATTTGTGTTGAATTTTATTCTATAATTCACTAGTAATTTTGTTTATTTAGGACAAAAGACGCCACGTATAATGAAGAAGACAAGACGCTCAAGATGTTCCTCAGAGGGAGGCCCATCATTCTGTACGCCCCCACCGATCTGGGAGAAAACTACGAGATCACCAAAGTATGTACAGCCCCTTCCCGCAGACTGAAACTCGACTGGGTATACGGGTATCGAGGTAGAGACTGCAGGTCCAACCTATACTTTCTGCCTACGGGGGAGATGATTTACTTCGTTGCTGGCGTCGTGGTTTTGTACAATGTAGAAGACCAGAATCAGAGGCATTATGTGGAGCATACTGATGACGTTAAGAGGTAAGGTTTTTGTGTGGATCCAAAGTTTCCCCCTTCATATAGTTATTGTATCTTTTTCTGTCCTTGTTACTTTAGTTATTTCAGAAACTTGTTTCTAAATTAGGAATTATTTTAAATACCTTTTTGTTTTTCGTACACATAATGTGGTATCCTCTTTTTTTTCAGTTTAGCTATCCACCCTAACAAAATGTTGATTGCCACAGGTCAATGTGCTGGTCACGATAGAAGAGACGCAAGGGTAATGATCTTGAATAAAAACCTAAACCTATTCGATAATTTGATTTCTTTTTATAGCCTCACATTAGAGTATGGAATTCCGTATCGCTACATACCCAAGCTGTCATAGGAATGAATGACTTCGATGTGTCTGTATGCTGTTTGTCATTTAGTAAAGCTGATGGAGGATCCCTATTATTAGCTATCGATGAAGCCACTGACCACAATATTTCTGTGTGGGATTGGCAGAAAGGAGATAATGGTTACAAAATTACGGAAACTAAGGTAACAATTTATTTTGTGAAATACAAAATTTTCTGGCTCATTATACACAAACCAAACTTGTATGAAATCATTCGGTATTCAGTATCGCACTTTTTTGATGGAAGACACTTAGTGTACTGGTTTGAATTACATGTTTTTATTCAACCGTGACAAATAATCGATTGTGGTATCTGCAACATGAAATGCAGTTTGGCAGGACGGTTTTGTATGCCGCCAAGTTTTTAGAAGAAATCCGGCAGTTTCCTATCCTGAAACAACGTCTGGAAGTTGTAGGTGTGCTTCAATTAAAACAATATGCAGAAGACTTTGTGGTCGATGTTTATATAGTGGAAGACAATTTAGGGTTGCAGAGTAATAAGAAAACGAATCTAAGAACTCCAGGAAGGCAAGTTAGATTTCGAACCAGTAGATGTGTTCCAAAATACAGAAGAAGCAATATCTTGGGCAAATGCTCGTTTACTAGCCATGCAACAAACTTTTACTGGTTGAAGGTATGGAAATTTTGAGTGTGACCCATAGTTAGGCTGTGAAGAAGCGAATTAGGAAAAAATTCTATATTCATGTAGGATAACGTCCCTCCCCCAAACTTGCTTAGAAATACCTTCAAGCAGAATGAGTGTCCATTTTGGATAGGCCTCCATTCTCACCAGATGTGAATCCATAAAAAATGCATTGAATTAGTTTTAAAAGGAACTATAGCTTATATTCAGGAAATACCGGGTCACTGATTTAAGCTGCATTGGAGGAATAGGGAGACTAACCATCATGAATTGAATGAATATTAAACCTTATATAAAATAATTCATTTTCCAGTATATCCATGTTGTGAAACATATTTGGTGGTTCCACATATTTTTGGTTGTGTGTACTCAACTTTAGATCAAGATGATCCGAGGCATTAGATAACAATGGCCAAGTTGATGTTGTATACACGGATTTCTCTAAAGCATTTGATGAAATTGATCATGGTATCTTGCTCAATAAACTGATGAGTTTCGGTTTTTCGAATACTGCCTGTCAGCTGATGCAATCCTATCTGACATGTAGAAAACAATTCTTGTCCTATAACGATTATAAATCTAGAACATATATAGCTTCTTTTTGTGTACCTCAGGGCTCCAACCTAGGTCCTCTTTTGTTTTTATTGTTTATTAATGACTTATGTGAAAGTTTAGCTTGTGAGCGGTTATGCTTCGCGGATGACTTGAAATTATTTTCTATAATTGAGGAAGTAGGTGATTGTGTAAATCTTCAATCTCAATTAGAATTTATTGTTTCTTGTTGTAGCAATAATAAATTGAAACTCAATGTGGAGAAATGTAAAGTAGTGAGTTATAGTCGAAGAAAAGAGGTTTATACATTCCCGTATGTAATACAGGATTCAGATCTGCTGAGATGTGATGAGATCAAAGACCTAGGGGTAATATTCGATCATAAATTAGTAGACATATTTCACAAAAAGTTTCAGAATCTCTCAGAGCTTATGGTTTCATTGTTAGAAATTGCAGAAAATTTCATAATATCAAAGCCATGAAGCTGTTGTATTTCACCTACGTACGTTCGAAGATAGAATATGCAAGTATCGTCTGGAGTCCATTCTATCTGTTTAAATCTGTTTTTCCGTTAATCAGCTATCGCCCCCATACGAACGACAACTCTCAGAAGTTGAGAAACTTGTGCGAGCTGAGGACTAACGAGGTCTTACCTTTTAACGTGTGATTCCTAACATAATCATTGAAAGAGTTGAAAGAAAGTTTTGTAAATTTATAATTTTCAGAATAGATGGTTCTTACCCTGAGAGAGGTATCAGTAATGATGTCATATGTGAACGTTTGGAACTTTTTAGTTTAGAGCATCGCAGAAAATGTGCGTCGCTCATATTTTTATTCAAGTTAGTGAATGAAAGAGTTGACTGTCCTAAAATTCTTGAACAAATTAACTTCAATGTACCCAGCTTCATGATCTCAATCCATTTTTAGATCTCTCAGAGCAAGAACTAACATTATGCTCAATTCCCCAATATATGTTATATGCACAAATTTCAATATCATTTGTGCCCATGGTGATTTATTCTTCACTAACCTTCATAACATTATTAGAATTGCTAAGGTGTACTTGAAGTAGGTAATTAGAATTAGTTTTTTTTTTGTTCATTTTATTTTTCGTTTCTGGTATTGTGAATAAAATTTTATATTGTCCTGTTAATGAGTAACTGTTGGACAATCAAGCTATTATTATTATTATTATTATTATTATAATTGCACAAAGGTGTTATATAAAAAAAAACACTGTCTATGAAATACATTCAATTTTCATTGTGGCCATCTATAGCAACCTACTGTTTAATGTAAATTAATGTCATAATAGTTTTCATAACTTTTTTCTCTTAATTTTTCAGTGCTCCGTTGACACCATCGTTTCAGCAGAATTTCATCCATTGGATCGCAACACTATTGTCACCTGTGGCAAATCTCATATAGGATTCTGGTCATTAGACCCCAATGGAACATTGTACAAGCGAATGGGAATTTTTGAAACTCGCGAGAAGCCTAAATATGTCACGTGCATCGACTTTTTGCAGACAGGAGAGACTATCACTGGAGATTCGAATGGAAATCTAGCTGTTTGGGGTAGAGGTACAAACACCATTTGCAAATTTGTGAAGAACGTACATGAGGGATCCATATTTTCCATTTGTGTGCTGAAAGATGGAAGTGTGGTGACGGGAGGAGGTAAAGATGGAAGAATTGTGCAGTTTGGCTCTAATCTTAGTTCAACCGGAGTTTTTAGTCAGGTGAGTCATTGATGTATATCACCTTTAAATCATACAATGGGTAGGTTTTAACAACTCGGACTACGAAAAGTCTTAGACTTCAGCACGAATATATTTCCTAATTTGGGACAACTTCAAATAAACAGCAATATTCATTCTTGTCACGGGTATTAATGATAAAATATATTCTGAAAGGCATCGATGAGCTACTGAAATACATCTAACTTTAGCGGCTGGCACAAAATGGATACAGCTGAAGAATTTATCACACTTCAGGGACATGTATATCAACATAATGAAAAAAATTGACTTTCCGCACATCCAAACCCGTGAAATTTTAAAATTCTTTCTGGTAAAGAGACATTATTCATCTGACCTACTGTAGGAATGAAGTAATGGTATGAATATAAGAGAAATATTTCACAACAATAGTGTTTATTGTATCTAAAAAAAAAATATGAAATTGAAATAAAATGAATATAACTATTATGCTAGGTATAAAGATCAAGTGTTAATAAAAACAAAGGTCAATAAAACAAATTAAACATTTGTTTCATTCTATAGGATGTCACTTCCCAAGAATAAACAACATGATTATTTATTCCTGTGAAGGAATTTAGGGGATTCAGCTGCTTTGACTGGAATAAGTTTATTATCTTTCTTCTCAAATGAATGGAGCTTTTTTTATGTTCCATACAACTACAAAATGATAGCTCATCAGCAAAGAGAATCAAATGTTTTGAATAAAATGTGAAAAAAATTTCATAGTTTTCATACCTGTACATGCAAAAAAATTCCAATGACTTGAAGTCGAAGTTAATGTTTTAAAGAAAATCAAGCTATTACAAAGGCAACCAACCAAACAAGAAAATATATTGAGAATAATGAGGCATTAATCGTACTTGACTACATTCAAAAGAATGAATTTTGATAAATAGACAAATGATCATGTGAATATTAATGTGAATGAACTTTTTCAAAATAATAGATTATGCTTCCATAAAATATAAATGAATGAAACATTTAAATTTTTTTACCATTTTATAATATAACGACCTTCAGCAAATGCAAATGATGGCGTGAGAATAGATAGATATAATGCAATAGTGAAACTCCAATGATGCAAACACTTAATATTGATATGAGAAAAAGTATGACTTCGTTATTGTGGATGAAGCTTAAATTACACTTAATTTCCATTTTATCGTGGAAGTAGAAACTAATGTTTATATAAAATAGTTTTTTCGAGAGGGCTTTTTCTTTTAATTTGTGTCTGAAATTTACTTCTTTGCATGATCTAGGTACACATCTTTGTAAAAAGTTTATTTTGAAATTAATTGCTTTCTTCCTTTTTTTGGAAGATTCCCATTTTTTCGTATGAAGATGGAGAAATAGAAAGCCAAAATCTTTCTATCCCAAAAACTAATCTCTCCTAAAAATATACCCATTTCAATTTAGTATGTTAATATTTCATTAATTAATGCCTATTTCCTCTGGTTTCATTATTATACATTTATCAGTTTCGTAAAATAGTATTTTCTTTTTAAATGGGCTTTTTACATGTATGAATTTGATTATTAGATTGGACTAACTGTAGGCTTATTTTTTTCAAACGTTTATTCAAATACTGAGATACACACAGACCCATTTCAATTCAAATTGTCGAAAAGTAGATTGTTGAAATGGCACCTTTCTATGATGGTATGCTGTCTGTAGACTTTTTCATGATGTATTTATCCCTCTACATCTTTGAGACGTTATATTTACAAAATACTGCAACATTTCTTCATGAATAATATTTGTATGTGTTTGTTGCAATGTACGTTCAAATCATTTCTGCAAAAAAAAATTACCTTTATAATTATTTTCAAAATGTTTTGGAGGTTTTCTGAAACGTTAATCAAAATCGGAGAGTTGACCTTATTCTTAATCTTTATAATTGGAAAGTACCGATACAAGATGTTTAAAAACTACGTGAACATAGAATCTAGCGTTTGAAAATACTGAACGCTATTGATATTTATTCGTTACCAAACCATATTTATATTTCACATTGAATTTCAACTTTTTAATTTCACTGAAATTTCATTTCACCAAAAAAATAAACTCCAAACAATCAAGTTCTCTCAATTTTCTCATCTTTTCATTTTTAGATTGAAGGTCACTACGGAGGCATCCGAGTTGTCTCTGAAGGTAGTGGTTCTCAGCTTCTGGTAGGTACCACTCGTAACTGTATCTTGAACGGTACCTTCGAACTGGGATTCCAACCCATCATTCTAGGGCACACAGACGAACTTTGGGGATTGGCATCTCATCCGAATGTACCTCAGTTTGCAACTGCTGGTTTTGACAAGGTACTTCAACTGTGGGATTCGATGTCGCATAGCATTTTGTGGAGTAAAGATATTGGGGTGAGTTTTGTTTTTGACCGATTATTATCTTCTATATCATTTTTGCAGACTTTATATTTATGTAGAACCTTTTGATTGATAACTTTTTTATTTCAAATGCTTTTTCAAATGCTCGTTGAATTTAGAGAGATTTAATAAATATTGGTAAGATAATAAATATTTCAAAATAAAATTTTAAAATATCTCTCCCAACCACCTACCGTAGGTTCTGGTAAATGCCTGCCAGAAAACACCTACTTCCCCGGCTAATACCACGCTGGATATTGAATTATATCCGACAGACATTTATGCAAGATACCTCACAGATGTTTCTCGTTCATCCAGCAGCAGGACCGTGTTGAAATCATCAGGTATTACCTCTCATCAGTGCAGGAAAGATCGGACCCAAACAGCAAAGTGCCTGCGACTTGAATAATTTCAACATGGCTTCATCTAAGAGAAAGATTTTTGACAGCCATGTATTTGAATTTTTGTGGCAACAATTCTTGGTTAACTAGTTTTATAATCCCTGGATATATATAAACATGTAATATTTTTCGGGATAATGATGAACACAAACATAAAATTCTCAAACACTCCACATAGAGAACATCCATGGAAGGATCTAGAATTTTCCAGGCGACAAAATTCTATACTTTAAGTAGGGGATGAACTGTAATGAAGGACTATAAATATTCTGTCTCACGAAAAATGTATTTATTTGATTCGCTATATCGAATGTCACTTGTCAATTTTTGAAACTGATATTGATTTGTAATTTTTCAGGAACCAGCTCAAAGCGTTGCATATTCCCCAGATGGTGGATGTGTTCTGGTCGGTTGTCTAACTGGTAAATGGATGATCTTCGATGCTCAAACCCGTGAGCTTCTAGCTCAACACACTGATGGCAACGAGCCCATTCAAGTCATCAGTTTTTCCCCGGATGGGTCATTAGTAGCGCTGGGATCGCGTGATAATCAAATCTACATTTATCAAGTGTCAGAAGATGGTACTAAATACGGCAGAGTTGGCAGATGTACAGTGAGTAGTGAAATCTCAAACCTAAGTTGGAACCAATCGATCACTTTCCTAACAAGTCTGTGCCAAACTCTTATTTATTATCATTTACTGCTTATTGGGACGTAGAATATGCTGACCTGTTTATTTGATTATCATTATAAAATGTACTTTTTTACAGGGTCATTCAAGTTTCATTACTCATTTGGATTGGGCTAGCGACAGTCAAACTTTGAGGAGTAACTCTGGCGATTATGAGTTGTTATTTTGTAAGTATTTTTATTTGTCTAGGGCCTATTTATACATCTTTGTCATTACCTTTGTCTTCATTTTAGCCTTAAGAGAAAGAAGTTCAATGTTCATTTGCCCTTAAAAGTATTTATACAAAGATTCATGTCCTTGTTTAAGTTGTGACCTTGAATGTCCCGAATTTCAACTTTTGAGCCAATATGGCATTTTCAATATGGCCACAAACAGATATTTTCTTTTTCAACTAATCCAGTTGAAAGCCCTACAACTACAAATAACGCTTGGTGGGTTGATTACATTCCAACTAGTAACACTGCATGTGACATGTCACTAGTCTTAATTCTTAGGATTGAAAGTATGCTGAATGAATTGATCAGTCTTCTCAAGATGATAAGAGTCTAAAATTACTAATTCTTAATTCTTTTAGTTATTCTCTACTTATATCGATAAGTTTGTTAATCATAGTGTTGAAGAAGTGAAGTGGAATCTCTCCACCTCAAATTGAAAACACATTTTGTCACAGTCAAGTGTAGGATTATCAGTCATTAATCATATAGCAACATGCATAATTTGGGGACAAATAAGTCAAAGGGTACATATCAAAAAATTGTGACAAAAATTCTATTTGAAATTGATAAAAAATTATATAGTTTCATTTATTCTAACTTGGTTGATAGGAATATGTTATTGTTATTTTTTACAAAAATAGAATATAAATTGTTTAAAAAAAATACAATTGATGTGAATCAATTACGTTTTTGTAAATAAAATTAGAAAAACCGATCTTCAAAATGTAATTACCTGAATCAGTTGAGAGCTTTTCTCACAGTTCTTCTCTCCAAGCTTTGTCTGATCTGTCGAGTCAAGCTATTCATCAATCCAGTATTTTATACATATGTTTAAGTGCTTATTTCATTGATGCAACTGCAAAATATTCTAACAACTAGACAGATGCCTATTATATAAAAATTCAAGCTAGTAAATCACAAAAGGCTGTTTCTCGTCTCTGTATACATTTTCATGTGGTTTGCATACAGTTGTCAAAACAATAAATATGAATTTGAAATGAAAATATACTTCCTTAGGATGACATTTCGGAAACTATCTCGGAACTTCTTCTTAAAGCTGAGAAAAAATATCGACAATTATACATGAAATGTATAAAATGTCAGTTCAATATATAGAAATTGAATTAGAGTTTTGACACTGGTGGGATGTGGAAGATTTCACTTGTTATGAAATTTTCCTAGCCCTCATTGATTGAATATAGGATAGAGAAAATCAGATACAATTCACAGGATTGCTACACAATATAGTTTATGAATGATGTAAAATTTCACTTATGGAACATTGTCATCCTCAGTGACGGACATCTGATGTTTCGGAATAAGACACTTGGCCTTATTGCCTCTTCAGCGTCAATCTGGATAACATTACAACTCGAAGCACTTCATTCATTAAATTGAGACTATATGTCACGAATGAATTAAATCTACTGATGCCATTAATGACAACAGCTTAATGACATTCATTCACTTATTTGATCAATCCCAGCCATAAGAATCTTGTTAAATTTGAAAGCAATATATTTTTAGGAAAGATTAATTTTCTGAGAAAGAGAGGTTTTGGCTTTCTACTTTTTCATCTCATTCAAATTTGTAACACTATAATTTCTATGTGGAACACTACCCAAAAATGGTAAACCTCATCCATCATCGATAGTAGCCACAGAAAATTTTATTATTAAGGAAAATAGAAGTTTCTACCCACCCCATTCATAACTATTTCATTAATTCCAGGGAATGCAGGAACGTGTCGTCAGATTCCGCAGAGTAGTATAGTACGAGATGTTGAGTGGGCCACTAACAATTGCACTATCACCTTCACAACTGTTGGAATTTGGCCAGAGACAGCAGATGGAACAGACGTAAACTATTGTGACCGTAGCCACAGTTCGGAATTGATGGTCACTGGAGATGATTTTGGACGGGTCAAGCTATATAATTACCCAGTTTCGCAGACCAAGGTATATTACTGTTTTATGTTGGAGTTATGTATTATGACATCAAAACGATGTTCTGTCTTCAGTGTTCAAGTAATTTGCAAACAGACAAATTATTTAAGGTGTTTTCAATTGATAGATGTTCGATATTTCACAAAACAGGTCCTCGGGTATTTTGAAGATAAAAAATATAAGCAAGTCGATATGATCAATTCAGTTATACTTTGAAGAAGTATCTAATAAAATATTTATCTGCGAATCTTATTGTTTCAGATACTACTTAATTTCTACTTTTATTTTTCAGTCCTTGTGCCATAGCTACGGTGGACATAGCAGTCATGTCACGGCTGTCAATTTCTTACATGATGATACAAGGGTAGTATCAATTGGGGGTAAAGACACTGCCGTTCTTCAATGGACAGTCTCCTAGGACCAATTCCCAAACCGTCCAAGAGTATTATGAGATTTTTAGATGTGTTGTTAAACTAGATGCAAGGCAATGACTATTAAAGACAAATGTTTTGGATGTTATTCAGTTGTTATTTATAGAGCCATGTATCTGGTTAAATTGGTGGCCTTTGACTAACTTCAGTACTTTTTTGAGAACAGTTCAAAGTTTTACTCTTCTGGCACTTTTGGAAGTTTCTTAGGTTGTAATTTTTGTGCCACATTCCTCTGGAATATTTATTTTGTATTTAGGATTTCCAGTTTGATCCTATTCCATATTTTTTTATTAGTGGTTTCCACACAATTTACGAGATTTCTCGGATATTTTATCTTATATATTTGTATATGTGTGATAATAAACTATTATATGATATGTTAGTTTTAATTCACCTTTGCTTTTGTTGGATTCAGAAAGCTACTTTATCCATGAACTAAATAATAAAATAGGGTGAACAAATTCTGCTGTTATTTTTGGCATTTGTAGGTTTTCACTCCCCTAGACATTTTAAAATTAATTGAAAATAAAAAGCAAATTACTCAATTTGCCGAAAATGTTTCTACATTTGAATAAATATTCAGAAAGAAATTAAACCGACTTCAGTAGCACTTCGAAAAACAAAAATATATGGATTGAAAGGGGATAAATTAAAAAAAGGTTTTTTGTTTTCCACTTCAGTGTTGGATAGATCAAGAGTAACTAACTGACTTGTGGTTCTTGCCCAAAACTTTATATGGGTCAAACGAGGAAAACCTTTTCCCAAAGAATAAAATCACCGATTCCACATTTGCAAATCATCTTTTAGCAGAGGGACATGAATTTAACCACGACTATGACGTATTACAATTGGAAAAGGTAGGTTTGAAACTCAAATCTTTTGGAATTGAAAGATTTAAAAATTTGCAAAATTTAACTGTTTAAAAAAAAATCAGTTTTTCCGTTAATCTGCTTGCTGTCGCCCCCATACGAACGACAACTCGCAGTAGTTGAGAAACTTGTGCGAGCTAAGGACTAACGAGGTCTTACCTTTTAACGTGTGATTCCTAACACGGTTGCAGAATCATCCCAGCTTCTACCAGATAAATTCTCTCGAGAAAAATATCCAGTCAAGGCGGGGATCGAACCCACGGCCTTCCGATCGTGAGTCGGGCGCACTACCACCGCGGCCAATTCCACAACTGAATGACAAAATAAAATTGAGTTCTTTCTTTTTGTTGAATCTGTTTTCTGATGTGGAAATTGGTAATTTTTTTATTTTTTATTTTTGGTCCTCATTTGCCAGTTTTGTTCAAGATGAAGATTTTAAATAATTTTCAGCTTCGAAAAATGTACAGAAGTTGAACTCAGAATCAATAGTCATGTTATCTCTTTAGAAAGACCAGGGAATTAAGGTATAACATTGAAGGATACTTGATGATTCTCTCAACCTGCACATGTTCTGACAGAGTCCGCACAAATTTTTCCATATTTTTTTTCAACAAATATTTGACGTGATTCTGTGAGTTGACGTAACTTTTTTGTTCTTGAACGGATTTAAATAAATCAAACAAAAAAAGTAAAGTGAAGCTCATCACAACACATTAGCGAAAACCGCACGAAAACCTGCTTTTGAGATTTGCCACTCAAATGCACAGACAAACGATAAACAGGTGTTATGTTTTTCCTCGTGGGTTGACCAATAATTGACTACACTGAATAATCAAATTTAACTTTATTTAACTTTAAATACAACTAAACTTCAACTATTATTTGAATGTCAATCGCCTTACTAAATCACTTCACATACCGCACTGTAACGTCCAGCACTTGACTGTCTCGATATCCTCGTGGATAGCCTTTAAATATCGTAATCGAATGCCATAGAAATTTCGCAGAAGTTCTGTCGAAGTCGGTAGCATGCATTATTCTCGCTGCTTCTAGAGTGGTGGGGAATCATCATACATTCGCGCGCTCTTATCTACGTCACGTTTGGTTTATGGTTACCAGCGGCGGCCGGCGTTATTTTCTTTCGGGAATGATTTACAACACAGGCAATGATCAGTTATACTTTTATTGTATGTATGTATTCATGATGTGGCTTGAGATGGGGAAACATTTAAATGAATACTTTTAAAATTATGTAATTATAAGTAAACATGTAACTGATAATTATTACAAGGAGTCTAGCACTTCTTAAATTTGTTTAATTTGATATTTTGATTCACCTTGCTCACTTTTCTTCTGTTAGACAAAATGAAACTCTTCAGTGGAAACAATAGGTAAAATGTTTTAATCAGCATTACTTTGCAAAACCTAATTCCATTATGACACTGCTAACATTTTTCAATAGTTTCAACAATTGTTTGATAGTTTTTGGTGAGCACTTCATTATTCAAGCATACAGTACCACCTCCTCTCACTTCTTGGTGAGCCTACAAAAAAAAAGAATCTATGTAATTCAATACTCGTCTATAAATTATGCAAAAAATCAGATCATTAGTGTTGGAATGAGATGAGGTAAGTGAATTGAATGTATGATTGATGATACTATTCATAATCTGTTTTACTGAATTCGCACACATTATACTGCCTGCTTCAAACAACCTGTACAATACTAGAAAACTAGATTCTCGTAAACTCACTGCTCTGTTTATGTCTCCAATGCAAGTCCAATATTTTTTGGATGAGGTAGATGTAACTGACCATTTCGAATGATCATGTGTTGCTTTGAAAGAAACTTCTGCCACTGGGATATTTATGGATTCAACATTATTCACCCTGAAATGGAGTAAGTGATAGTATCTTTGAATAAAATCAATGATTACCCAATTATGCTGATTATTTTCAGTCAAGTTATTAGATACCCGTTCTGAAATCAAAAGAAATGCCCATTTTAATGATTGACAGCAGACATTTAAATATTTGACAAGACAAAAGAGATATGGACACTTCTAGTGTTTTGGCTCGTCCTTTGACAATATTAATAAATATTTGCATCAAAACTAGTAGGTACCATCCCAGATCTATGGAAATTATCTAAAGTTCGGCCAATTTATAAAAAAAGTTTTATAATAATTATTTATTTCTTTAGGACAACCTAATATACATACATTATTTTAAAAATATAGAAATGGATGACATATATAACAAAAATGATGATATGATAGAAGAAAAAAAAATTAAAGTCATTTTTCAATGACTCCAGAATGGTTTTAACATAAGGATATTCATAATAAATATATTACCAAACAAAAAAAAATTTCAGGATGATGATGATGATGACCTGAAATTATATTGTGAGATCAATGGCATCGAGGACTGTCTTCAACTCTCCCTCAATCTGAAACGTGTTGAACATTGGTGTTTTCGCAATAATCTTCATTTAAACGCGAGTAAATGTAATGTAATGACGTACACACTAAAAAATCGTCCATTTTCATATCAATATTCCATAAACGACATTCCACTTCAACGGCCTCTGATATTCACCAATCTAGGTGTTAGCTTCGACACAAAACTTTCCTTCGTACCACACATTGGAGCCATTCTGTCTGCTGCAAACAGAACATATGGATTTATTGCACGAATCTCCAGAGATTTCGCGAATCCATCTACATCGAAAATCTTATACTATGCTTTCGTCAGATCAAAATTAGAAAATGCATCCATAATCTGGAATCCATCTCATCAGTTGTATATACAGAGAAAATTGAATCAGTACAACGTCGTTTCCTAAAACTTCTCTATAGATCAGACATTATCTATCCACCAATTGGATTTCTACATGATGCATTGTTAGCTAGACATGTTATAAATAGCTTGAGTTGCCGTCCTGATTGTCACTCCACGATTTTTCTTTTTAAACTGATTAATAATTCAATTATTGACCCACATATTCTGCAAAAACTGAATTTCAATGTACCTAGACCAACCTCTACAATGGTTAATCCAACACCATATACAAATATTCTGAAACGTTCACCTCCATCACCTGCATAACAAGTGTGTTGTCAGCTCGACATTTTTTACTGTTTCATCTCTGAGATAAGGTGTTTTTACTTCAGCTAATTCTATATGTATTGTTTTATCTTATAACTTATTGTAATTATTTTGTATTGTAATTTGACTTATATCCCTGTTCTATAGTTGGGTGTAACCTGTTACTACACACTTAGGCTAAATCCACCTCTCCCATTCAAGTCATCAAAACCTGAACATTTTTGAATTTCAAAACAGTTCCATAGATTAATTTGATGTTTTTCTGTTCTGGAAAGTTCACTGTTTTTTGTTGCGGAAGGCGTCCTCACCAGCATGGACTACACTTCCTTGGCTAATACCACGATGGACATTGAATTATATCCAACAGACTTCTGTGTAAGATACCTTACATAGATGTTTCTGGTTCATTCAGCAGCAGGACCACTCTGAAATCAATCGAGTGAATCACCCAAAGACCGTTTTCTTGCATAAATGTCTCTCGCATATAATTCAATGTCCATCGTAGTACTAGTTTTGGAAAGTAGTTGTAGGAGGTTGTAGTACTGTGTAGGTACATTGGGAGAGATAACATGTTTTGAGATTTCATTTCTATACGAAAATATATATCTCCTACATACCGTCTTCAGACTTCTTAAATGTCTTGCACAGCCAACAATATACCATCAAGATGAAATCCACAGATCAAGGAAAGATTATCTTGGTGACGATTAGCAGAAAATTGTATAACCTCAGCCCATCTGAAAGGATACTGATGAATCAAAAGACAAAAATGCCTTAAAGAAAATAATGCCGGCCGCCGCTGATAGTCATAAATCAATTGTGACGTTGCCAAAACCGCGCCCAGCCCCACCGACGTTTCGCAGCTGTTCGATGTTCGCACCGTTTCGATGGAATTCTGCCGAATTATCTATGAACGGCGAGATAATTCGTTCACCATATATAAACGCTACCTACGAGCATATCGAGATAGTATAATGAAGTCAAGTTCAGTGGACAGTTCGGTACAGAGCGATCTAATAAGGTGATAGACATTTGAATAATAGCTGGAGTTTTAGTTGAAGTGGTTGTTTTGTTAACAGTGAAATAAAGTTAAGTTTGATTATTGTACAGTGTGGTCAATTATTGGTGAACCCACGGGGAAAAACGTAACAATATTTTCCAGACCAATCATTAGGTTTCTCTACTAGACCTTAGTAATATTCTTACTTTCAGGCACTGCAAGTTAAAACCTCGAGGAAACCTGGACCTTAAATCTCTAGGAAATGAAAAATCCGAAAAAATTCACAATAAAGAAAAATTGAGTGTATTTAAAGGGAAGTTACAGGTGACCAAACCTCCAGTAGAAAAAATTATAATGGTAATCAGTCTACCAACATTTTTACCCTTTGGAGGCCCATTCACTTTTCAAAAAAATATTTCCAAATATTTTTTTCACTTACTTAAACAATTTTTTACAATCAGATGGTAACCTTCCTGGTCCATTCGGCCACGTTTCCACAACTAAATCGCTTTCTAAGTAAGGTGCAACTAAATCCTCGTACAAGTCTTTGCAGAATTGTTTTGATTTTGCGAACGAAGTGAACTGGACACCACTTTTGGAATAAAGATTGGTTATGTGGTACCAAGGAGCACTGTCTACGGTGACATTAGCTGCAGCCTTAGCTAAGTCAGGTACAAGTGATTTCAAGTTGGACGGCACATTTTCACTGTAAATTTCTGGCTGGTTGTATTGAAGTTGAATACCTTATCACAAGAAAAACGATATAGTTAGTTTCCTGATCCTGTTGACGGCAACTTGGTTAGTGAAAAGCATGTGGAGAAGAGAGTTATGGTTCTAGTGTCTTCACATTAGTATAAGTGTTTTAAGAATTGATGATAAGTACCGATGAAATGGAAGAACCCACTACTTGAAAGCAATCGTTGAAAAACAGGTACTTAAGAATTATAATTGCTCCGAGAATTTTCTCAAATTTAAACAAATGTCGACAAAAAATAAAAATGTAAAGGCATATTTGGGATACCCTCTGGAGTCTTCCATTTTCCTCATGACAAAGAACAAACAGTCTATATCTGAAGTTGTCCTGATTTTTGGATTCACTTAGAACCCACCTGCTTGAACTTCAGGAAAGAAAAAAATGCACGACATATTCATTATTTAATAAATTAATCAAAATTAATAAATATCAAAAGTCCACTATATATTTCGCTGATGACAGGACAACCTTGTCTAATTCTAATGCACATCTTCACCAGGTATGTTACGTGGTTTTCATATGACTGTGGGAATCGGACTTTGAAAGGTTAAAATAAACCTCAATATGATAAAATAAGTAATCAGTTTTTTGTTCATTACAAATTTTCTGAATGTACCGTTTCAAAATAATTCGTCATTCAAATCATAATATTCATATGTTACATAAATATCTCCGACACTATTAAATTGCAATAAAATGAGTTATTGCCTTTATTGTTCAATATGGAAAATATTCGGCGCTTAATTGGTTATATTACATAATGTATTGGATTCATTCTATGCCAGAGGTTCCAGTTGTACCTTTCAATACCTAATAATCTGAATTTATGACGTGTTTCTTAGACTTGACTATCACTAAAATCCATGATAAACATAATTTTGTAATTTTTTCCAAACCATTTTATACAGACATAATACATAATCGACACATCCATATCAGCATAAAGCGGCAATATTAAATATATGCTTCGCAAACTATTGAATACTCCACTTTCAGGAAGAAATTTACAAAGAGAACAGAGTTTAATTAAATAAATTACACTCAACAACGGTTACAAAGTAGACACTACCAACGTCATTCTGAATAAAATAATGTTTATTGTTATTGTTCTATTTAACAATTGAATATACCTCAGAAAATTCATAGATTCTAAATGTTTTTCATTAATATCGATTTCTGTAACCTTTTCGTTATCAATTCAAATATTGGGACAAACTTGAATAAAACATTGGCTCCAAGCAAAAGAACAGATCAATGAGATACTCAAAAACAATAATTATTTTCCATCATATCTACTATTATGGATTTATACACGTGAAAAGAGTTTTATTTTAGAAAACTATGGGATAATATTTTTATTCGAAATACTGTCGAATTAATCGAATTATAGTATTTTGAAATCAGTTTTGGCTTCCAAAATATATCTACAGAGTCAGTTCGTCATAGATTTTGTGCGAATGTGGGGCTTTGGATCACAACATGCAATTTATGGACAACCGAAATTATTCCCAGAAGAATATGGTATATGTCCAGCAAGAAATCTGTACAGACTATTACAGAACAAGAGTGTTGGAATGGGTATCATGAAAAGAGGCGAGAAAACGTTCAGTGAGCTGCAGTCTTTTTCAGAGACTTGGAAGAAATGGATAAGTCTGAAAAAAGTGGGTTATCAATCTAAAATTTATTTGATGAGAGTATAACGTTTTTTTTAATTTTGGGGAGTGAAAACTCAGGAATAACTTGTCAACATCACCAAATAATATTCAGACAATACAAATATTACGACTTGGATGCCGAATTTTTGGGATACGGTAACTTCCACGAAGTTATAATAAAAAAACAATTTTATAATACTAGTCACTAATACTGTACTCATAGTTTCGGAGATTTTGATTTTTTTAAAACTCTGAGATCAAACAAAAATACCCCAACCGGATTCATTTCTACTTTTCAGGAGTTGTCATCTACAATAAAATGAAAATTTTATAATAAATTCAAAAGGTTGCATTTTTATCGTATCATCTTTGATAACTTTTATATACCAACATTTGTTTCACATCTAACTGCAATGCGCAAGCATTTTTTATGTGGATATGAATTAATTGTGCACTCCGACCTGGAAAAAAATCGTGGTTTCAATATTTCCTTCAGTGAGGTGGAGAATAATATTTCAACACTGTAACCCAATGTGACTCCCCGACCACCTAAATATACCATAATATACCTTATACTATTCGAAAAGCAGAAACATTGGCCATTGTAGCTCTCAAAATTGGATTGTACGTGGACTGTTCGCGGGCTACGTAATTTCGATTAGCGATTTTATTATGTTGGTAAACTCGTCTCGAATATATGTTCACAGTTTCAGCTGTTTAGCATGTTTAGTTTGTTGGCGAGAGACATAAAAGTTCGAAGTGTTTTGTACGTTCGGAAATTTTTTGCTATTGAAAAAAATGAGCAGTGTATCAAGTTTTGTGTGAAAAATTAAATTGGGTGCTCAAAAACACTTGTAATGTTGACAGTGGCATACGGTGATTATACTCTAGAACCAGAGATATTCACAAGTAGTACAAGGTTTTTACAGAAGGTCGAGAATATACCTATCAATGACGACGCTCGCCCTGGATGCTTCATCACATCAACAACTGATGAAAATGTTGAGAAAGTGCAGAAAATTGTTATGGAGAATCGTCGAATCACTATTAAAGAAGCTGCTGAAGATGTCAGCTAATTGGTTGGCATGCCATGCAATTTTTTCGGAAATTTTGGGCCTGAAGCATATGGCAGCGAAGTTCGTTTCAAAATTACTGAATTTTGACCAAAAAACCCGTGGGGCATGAGCATTGCTCAGGAATTATTGAATATCAACGGCGACCCAGATTTTCTTAACGGGGTCATGACTGGTGACGAATCATGGGTAAATGCTTATGACATCAAAACCAAAGTCCAATCGTTCCAATGGAAGAGTCCAGGAGAGCCAAGATCAAAAAATACACCCCAATTTCGATCAAATGCCAAGGCTTTCTTCAATGTTTTCTTCGACTACCGTGGCGTAATGCATCAGGAGTTCTTGCCACATGGTCGTACGGTCAATAAGGAGTATTACCTATCTTGAAGTTAAGTGTCTCTTGCGAGGAGCAACATAAAGATAAATATTTTTTGGGAAAAATTAAAATTAATCTGATTATTTTTATCAGACAGCGTATATACATGATACATACCTACTTTGTTCAAATTTTTCAAATCCATCGATATGCAGAGAAAACTTTGACCGTAAACAATTCCATTCTCAGGGTAGGCATAACTAGATCCCATTTCAGGAAAATTGGGAACTGAATGCACCAGCCAAAATCCTCCAGTCATATCGGCCATAACTACCCCTTTGGTATGACCTTTGTTAGAATTTTTGTTTTCATTTGGTGGTTCATCGTTGTAAAGGATATATAATACATCATTCTATAAATAATCACGAAAGATATTTTCAATAAAGACTCAACTTTTTCTGATCAAATTATCAAACAATGTATTCTTCATAAACGTAAGAGTGGTATATAAGTCCAAAACATAATACTCACATTCAATAATTATAATGGTATACGAGGAACGTTAAAACAATAAATTTTATCCAAGTGTAATAGTACCCTTATTTGTATGCTTCGAATAATTTTCCAAAACTGTATAAAACTCACCTTACTAGAATATAAGTTCTGCAGTGTATTTCCAATAATAGAATTGGTACTATTAATCGATTTATTTGAAATTTGCCAAGATCCATAATGATTCGAAGTCAAATATATGTAAGCAGAGCCCTGCTCGATTAAAAGATTTTGTTGTTTCAATTTTGGAATTTTATAGAGTACATACCTGAAAGGAAGGATTATGAAGCTCTATTGGAAGCTTATTTTTCAGAGTGTTTAATAAATCGTAACTTCTCCCAGTGATTCTTTTTTGCCTACTTAGTAATATAATTTTTCGTTTGGCCATTTATTCTCTTGAGTGCTTAAATGTTAATGTTCATCCAACTAGTAGTGAAAGAACTGTTAAACTCTATAGGTTCCAACTTTCTGGTCCCTCAGGGGGTCCAGTTAGAGAAGAAAAAATTATTATGAGTGAATAAAAAATTGTTTGAATATTTACCAGTCTACTGGATTGTTCTCTTCATCTCTACATTGAAGAGCATTCGAGTTATGCACATAACAAAAGAATGCCAATACACTTATTAGCATATTATTCATGTTTTAGATTTTTATTATTTCAGTTCTGTTAAAACTCCCAGCTGCCACAGTTATATGACTAATATATCAGTTCCGCCCAACCAATTTCCTGCTTTACTGGAATTTCATTAAGATGAAGATAAATAGAATTGAGCTGTTGTGATAAGTTACACCATATCTGGCCTTGAACTATTTGCTTATTTAGATTAGTTCATTATCCTTTGTCATCTCAATTGCAGAGTAGATCATTCAGTAATGTAAATAAATTGTGAGTGACATATAACTCCGGGGACACACAATTTACTAGAACAAAATAAGTAGTTCACACCCTGGCTCATAATAGTATTGTGATTACTCAAATTACATGAAATATTTTTAATGGGTTGGGAAAAAATGTCTCACTATTATGAGTGGAAATGGTTTTTAGCATTCCAAAGTCACACACAGAAGCCTCTAGTATTTAAATTATAAAATAATTTGATATGCAGTAACCAAAAAAATGTAGCATCTTATCTTGAAAACTGTTGAATCAACACATTTTTCATACAAGTACACGTACGCAAGCACACCACTGACGAGACCCGAGGAGTAAGCAGAGTGAGACCCCGGCGTCAAGTCACAAAGCCCTTAAAGCGTGTCACAACCTCAGGAGTAGGCAGATTGAGACTTTAAATGTATTCATATCTTATTGAAAATGGCTTCAGAGTCAAGACGTCGAACAACTAAAAACACTACATGCGTTTCAATCCGCGCGGATTGTTAAACTTCACATTTCTATTAGTTTATTTCATGTGAACTGTACTGCATAATTTTATGAATGAAAAATAAATTAATATACTCAGAGGTTGATCACTCACATTTGATTGACTTATTACAAAGAGAATGCAATACAGAATTTTGATAGTTTGGCTCACTGTAAGTAGAGTTTTCAAAAAACATGTTAGATTATGATAATCGGTTTTCGCTAATGAAAAGATATCTTGAAAATAATCGCTACTTCTAGAAAATTGGCAAAGTACAACTCAGAACAATAATTATCACTCTTATCTGAATTGATAATAAAAAAAAATAAAAGAAACCTGGTTTTGGGAAAAAACTCCAGTAAAATTCTAAAAACTATAGCAAAACCTTCAAGCCTCTGAGGGAAGGACGTCATCTCCAGATCCAGATTGGTGCTGATGAGGCAATAAGACAAATGTCTCATTCCGAAACGTTGAAGTCCACCCTTGAGGATAACAGAGTTCCACAAAAGTGAAATTTTGAATTGTAACTCTTAAATATACTATATTGTGTAGATTTCTTATGAATGAATGTACACCTAATTCAACTTCATAATGAATTATACAAATGGTGTCAGATTCAATTCCATAACGAACGTTTGGAGTACAAACTGAATAGAAAAAAGTTTTTATATAAAAGTAGTTGTTTTGAGAGGGCTTTTCTTCCAGTTTGTGTCTGAAAGTAACTTCAATGCATGATCTACACATCTTTGTAAAGAGTTTATTTTGAGAGCAATTGCTTTCTTCTTTCCTTTGGAAGTTTTTCACACTTTTTTGTAAAGAGGTATAAACATTCGAAGGAAACAATCACCCAAAAACTTTTCCAAAAACTTCTCTTAAAAATATACCCCTTTCAATTTAAAGTTGCAATAACATAGTAAGATACATACTGCATGTGAAATTTGATTTCACCTATTATTGAACCCGTCTATTGAGTGTAAAGAAAGATAGTGCGACTACTGGAGGATTAAAAATAACTTTCTCGGTAAATTGCAGCTGGTAAATTTGCCAGTATTCTTATACACCAGTGGTCCAATAATACCATGCTCTTTGGACCCGTTCTTGTCTTTCAAACAGGTCCAACAGCAACATGTAAACAGATACCAAGTATAATACTACAGCCAAGCCATAGGATATATTATATATGGTGTTGTGTAGCTCAATTATCATGATTTAATTGATAACTGCTAAATTTCAACATTGAAATTCCTGAATATTTTATAAGTCCTTCCAAGTACCATATAAATACCTCCCAATTTGGAAAAACCTTATAGGAATATGAAAAAGGAATGTTACCAGGTTATAATTAATATCTAAGCTTTATTTACATCATTCTGACATCCATGCCTTATTTTGAACTGGGATAGTAAGGGGTATCCGAAGAAGGCTGCGGGCATCTGTATTTCAACATTTCTATTTCCGCTTCAAAATAACTGGTCTTGTCATAACTGAAATATTCAGGATTTTTGTATCCAGAATTCTTCGCAGCTCCAGGGCCTACTGGACCTGCGGGAACCTTGAAAAATAAGGCAATAAATGAAAAGAGTGATTTGGATTATTTCAAGAATACTACTTTGAGGCAGGCTTCAGAAAGGCCTGGTACGTTTGGTAATGCAGGCGTTTCTTTAGAGATATTCTTTGGAGTATATATAATTTTTCCCAGAGTAAAATTACGTTTCAAAGAAGAAAAATGTCTGATCCTCTTCAAATTACTCAATATAATTTTTCCTGTTGCCATTGTTGACGTTAGGTTAATAGCGAAATTGAGTCTCTTTGTTACTAGACTGAAATGCTGAAACGACTGAAAGTGACGATTTGAAGACAACAGATTTTTTAAATTATGTAATGATATATTTCAGATTGATTCAGGATGAATATGAATGCTTCCTCGAGTTATGACAGTAAAGTCATTGTCTGTCTGAGTTAAGTGAGTTACGATCATAGATCACAGAACACTCAGTTGTTAATTATTCTGTGATTCTGATATTTAACTTTTTTCTGTAATCTGTGATCACGATTGAACATAATCACAGCATAGGTAGCCAGCATATGCTGTGACCATGCTGATTGTTACCTATGCTGTGACATAATCGACTTCACTGATATTTCATTAGTGGTGGGTGATGGGACAGTATTCCGTAACTAGACAAACCAGTGTTGTTATTCGAGGACTGTTAATTGTGCCCAACTTGAACTAGAGGGAAAATAATGCCCAAAAGTGAACTTCGAAAGGGTCCACTTCTCATTTTATTTTCCTCATTTGTGATAAAACTTTTTTATGCATACGAACTTTCCTATTTCTACTATCCCAGGCAGGGTTGTCAACCTCAGAACTACCGTAATACGTAAATGAAACGGGCCACAAATTGTAGAGCAGACAGAGTAATAGCGTTTCAGAGTACAATTACAGTTGGTAGCTTAATAATAATTACTAAAGGGACTTTTCATTGGATATCGCTAATTGTACCAGGAACACAATCGCTTTACAAATTGCTGTCAGTTTTACATCAATCGATGATGAAAAATGTCAATTGAGAACGTCTAAAACAAACATTATATAAGTATCCTGTTTTCACAAATCAAAAATAGCTAGAAGTATTCTCATTTCAAACAATACGACTTTTGCATCAGAGCCATGTTATGTAACAAAATATCTTCACTTTGAAAAATGTCAAAAAATAGCCAAACTAGGATTTACACGAATGAACGCGAAATGACAGTAATTCAAGGATTTCAAGAGGAATTTACTACTTCATTCTTATAAACCCGGAGTGCCGGCTCTTATACTCTTTGATATGGCCTTGGCCATTTTGTATTTTGTCAAGCTTCAATAAGCATTTTCTAATTTTACTGTCAAGAGTAGCAAGTGGTTTCGCGGTTTTAGTATTTGACCAATTTTTTTATTTTCAGTTTTTCTTACAATTTTTTTTGAGAAACTGAATTTAGTTTGAGACTATTCACTTATCACTTTCAATAAATTCATTCAATTAAAGTATTTTTCTTATTTGTGAAACTCTTCAACTACAATTACAATGCCTCCTAAGAAAAAACAGACTTCTGGAAATGCTTTCTTCCACTTCATGCAAGACTTCAAAAATAGACAAGGAAGACATTTCAAAAATATGCAAGAGGTAGCCGAGGCTGCCAGTCCGCATTGGAACGTAAGTATTCGAAGATTTCGATCTTCACACACTTTTTAATTGGTATATTTATCTAACTATACAATATTAGCTATCGTGAATGCAGATGTTTGATCAGTGCTCTTTGGCTGGATGGGTGTCTTTCATGGCACACTAGGCGAATTGCTAAATGATGTCAATGCATATTAAATTACTTGAGTTTGCAGTCGGAAACAGAGAAATCTACCATAACATCCCAAGTATATATCTTGTAAATCACTTTGGAAAAAGCCAACATTTGGTCTCTAGAAAGTATATATATTTCCCAACTGATGGTGTGCATAAAAAAATAGGCAAACTGGTATAATAGAGTACTGAGTAAATACTTTCACACAACATAAGTAAATTCAATGTACATCTTCCGTTTTTACATATGGAAACATATAAAAAAATGAGCAAACTGTTGGAAAGTACTGATTTGAGATAAGTATATTCAATATACATCTTCTGTTTTTACTTGAGGAAATTTTTTCTATAGTTGGTTGTAGTAGTAGTAAAATGTTTCATGGAATATGGTTACATATTGATCAATAACTGAATTCAGCTTTTGCATATATGATTTTTATAGTTTAAATGTAAATATTTTTAAACTTTTACTTTTTCACTATCTTGATTTGTAGGCTATTCGAATATTGTTTTGATAGTGTAAGTTAATGCCGTTTTTCTGACTGGTTTTGTGAATTTATATGAATAGAATCGAATAGTTTGTTGGTGCTGTTGAATATTGAGTTTTACACAAGTCAAGAACATAATTGAAATAAATTAAAGCTGAAGCTAAAATACAATGCCGTTTTTCTGACTGGTTTTATGAATTTATATGAATAGAATCGAATAGTTTGTTGGTGCTGTTAAATATTGAGTTTTACACAAGTCAAGAACATAATTGAAATAAATTGAAGCTGAAGCTAAAATACATTTGAAAAATTTTCATTTAAAAATAGTGTTGCCTAATAAAGTTGTATGTCTATATTTCTGGTGGTTTTTATCTTATTTATGCAGAACGAAAATAGGTTGGAATACATCCAAGATAATATTTAATCTCTTTCCTAAAAAATTACTTGTTAGTTACATCACACTCTATTTAAGAATTATTCGCGGAATTTCTATATTGTCTGCCATATCCAAGTTGCTTGAGAAACTCCTACCGTCTACACTACCACTATAAATACCTTATTGATGATCGTCAACTTGGTTTCACTAATGGCAAATCAACGCTAACCAGTTTGATAAGATTATTAGCATGAAATAATACCAGCCTTTGAGTTTGGACATCAATTTGATGCAATTTATCCAGATTCCACAAAGGCCTTTGACCAAATGAATCACCACCTGTTTGTTGATGGGTGAATTAGATAATTTTAGGTTTACAGATAATCTGACACACTCAATGGAAAGGAAATTGTGCGTTCGAAGAATTTCAGATCACATCCCATAAGGGTTGTGTCAGGAGTACCATAAGGATCGTATCTTGGTTCATTATTATTCACTTTGTACGTTATTGACTTATAAAACTTAATGAAATACTCCAGTGTTACGTGATGATCTTGAACTTTACAAGGAAATAGTTGATTCTGATGACTGCATGGAACTCCAGATAGATCTTCATGTGTTGTGGCTCTAGTGTAATAATAATGGAATGACTTTAAATATGAGCATGAAAGTAGCCATCAAGTTTACTCTTTGAATAAACATTCAGTTAGTGGGTGCTATCTTTGACACATCTCTGACCTTCATTCCTAATATGATTTTTATAATTTGTGAGTCTCTACAATTACTGTGTTTTTTTTAGTAATAATTCTATTGACCTGAATATAAACTTATTGAAAACATAATATCTTGCCTATGTTAGGTTAATTCTAGAAAATGCATGAATTGTATGGTCTTCTTATTATTCTGTACATGTTAATAAAATAGAATCAGTTCAGAATCGATGTTTACATATATGTGCGTACAACTTGGGATTTGTGTAGGGTAGTTTCAAATATAATACAATCTCAACTATTCTGAATCTAGTCACTTTAAAGGAACATAGATCTTTGAAAGATCTGTTATTTCTACACAAAATCTTGCTAGGTGATCTTAAACAGTTCGGATTATTTTTAATTACTTTGCTATTCAGAATCCTGGTCAAAGCAACTCTGAACCTTGCTTTTTTGAATTACCAATTCATACCCCCAGTTATGGATATTTCAACCCAATATCACAACTCATGCGGCTAGGAAATTTTTTAAGTGTGAACCCATAGAAATTAGCTTTGCTCACTTGAAAAAAATCACTGTCTCTAAATTTTTCACTATTAGTACCTACCTAACTAATATTGAATTGTTAGGTTACTTCAGTTTGAATGTGTATCTATGGTATGATTTTTCTGTAAAAAGGGGTTTTATTTTCCGTCTAAATATCTGAAAAATAAACAAAGCTGTTGATTCTGTATACACACAACCACAACGGACAAGTTGAAATATTTCATTTTTTAAATTAGTGGATACTAATTTGATTCTTGGTATTTTGAATGTATGAATATGACAAAAACTTTATTCTACAGAGGATGTCAAAGGAACAACGAAAACCATACGAAGAGATGGCTTTAATGGCTAAGAATAATTTGCGTGGAGGTAAATTTACCTCCGATGGTTTGGATATTGAAGTATTAGAAAATATTGAGAAGGAAGAGCAGGCAAAAATTCAACAGATGAAAAATGATATTAATTATATATGGAAAGTGGCGAGTTCAAATGGAAGGATTGCAGATGAACTTATTTTTATTATACATATCAATATATTTGTTCATTGTACCTCTGAAGACCGACATTATCCAGCAGAAATAGCTATTGCCTGTTTCAACTTAGAGGATGGTGTTTTGCCGCAAAATGTTTTTCATAGAATAATAAAACCTGGTGAATATAATCATTTTCTTTTTGTTTACTATGCCTTTGATTTAAGACTAGGATGGATTCATGCATCAGTCTCAAGTCTTGAATTGCAAATTTCAAATCTTGAGACTTCTGAGGGTTGTCGTTCATAGGGGTGCGACAGCTGGTTAACAGAAAAACATATTTTTATTTTTTATTATATAGTAAGTATTTATATTGTAAGTAAGTATACATATTATAATGTCTACAGTCATGCATGAATCCACCCTTAGGTGTTGAAGACTGGAGTAGAGATTTTTTTGTTTTCCAGAAATTTTGACTTTCAGTTCATAATATAGATGTATTCCATAGTAACGTATTCTTTCAAAGTTACCGTAGATGTGCAGAAATGAAGGCGTTTTAATCATTCTCTAACAAGCTAAATCCAAATTAATATGCTGGAAAAATCATTTCTCATATATTCTTCTGGAAACAATGTGGCTCACCGCATTTCTCTTTTTCCAAAATCAAATACAAACTCCAAAGGTTTTTAAAAATCTAGTTTAGGATTCAGTTTATTAGATAAACTGCAAGAAAAAAGTTCCTCTGGCTCTTCACATCTGTGGTAACTTTAACAACGTATATTGGTATGAAAGATACTGCAAGATATTTACTACAAATTCATTACTACACCTTTGATGTAGTTACTGGAGTTCAGTCAATTGCTTCTAAGCAGTTTTTTTTGAAAAATGAATTTTTGATGAGTTTTAGTCGCCTTATGACATGTACTCAGATTTCATCTTCAAATTATTTATGATGAAAATAGTCCCAGGTTTAGTTTTTTAAATTAAGGTTTCATTTATTTTGAGCACTAAAAAATGTTTTTTCCTATGTGATATAATGAAAAAATCGAAAACCTTTAAGCAAGTAGAGCTGCACTTGTTAGGCATATATACAGGGCTATTCAAATTCGTTTCTGTACATGGGGATCTCATGATGTAAAGAAATCGAATATGGCTCTTTTGGTTCTAGAGATATACAGAAAAAACATATTGAAAATCTGTCCACATTTTGCTATTGGCACTTGATGTGGGCTCTCAGAATATATCCATGAATCTTTTATACAGGGTGTCATCTGACTTGGGCCACCCCCATCTTTGAATTTCTAAATAGATAGATAGATAGAGATAGATAACACAGGTCTGTGACCAAAAAACTGCATTTTCCTACAGATTTTGACCTCCCAAAAACAGAAAAAATATTCAAATTATTATATCACATAAGTTTTTATGTATATTGCAGTATCTATGTTCATTGGTAATAAACCTATATGATTTTTATTTGATAATGGAGGAAAACAACCTGAGCTGTTGGTGAGACAGGGAATGTTTTAACATGTTGAGACAAGTCAAATGATGTACACTTTTACACAATTATATGCAAACTAAAATTTAAGCACATAATTTTTAAAGAAAAATAGCGGTAATCATTTCTTCTTTGATTTGATTTCTCATTTTTTATTCTCTGCTACAATCTTTTCCCGTTATTTTGGCGCAAAATAAGTTTTAGCATATTAAGTTGCATTTATACCTCCAATTGACGCCTAGTGTATATTGCTTGAAACAAAGAAAAGCTCTCAGTAGACATACTGATATTCAAGTGAACAGTGCTGTTGTCTGTTAATCATGGCTACAAAGTTGTGTTATTTCTCCAAACAGTTTTTGTTATATCTGTGGTGAATTCGCTATTAAAAGTCAACAGAGAAATATAAGTGATTTTATAAGGAAAGTTTATTTTGCCTACTTTAAATTAAAAATTGGTGATCAAGATAAACCATGGGCCCTGCATAAGGTGTGTAGAAGATGCGAAGAAGATCTTCGTTTGTGGTTTAAGGGAAAGAAAAATGCATTTCGATTTGGAATTCCTATGATATGACGTGAGCAGAAAAATCACACCACTGACTGCTACTTCTGCTCAGTTGACGTAAAGGGATTCAATTCAAAAAACAAAAGAAGCATAAGTTATCCTAATCTTGACTCAGCTATACGTCCAGTGCCCGAAAGCTCCAAAATATCTATCCCGCAGCCACCTTCCTGTTTGGATGAATACCCTAGTGAGTTGGAGGACGAAGCTACATTGCCTCCTCCGGGTGAATCAAGCTCAGATTTATCTTTTGATGAAGATGAAAGGCCTCAACTATTTTGTCAAAGTGAGCTCAATGATTTAGTAAGAGATTTAAGTCTTTCAAAAGATGCAGCCGAACTGTTAGGTTCTAGATTAAAAAATAAAAACCTTTTATCACCTGGCACTTCTTTCTACTGGTACAGACACCGAGAAAAAGAATTTACTCAGTTTTTCTCAAAAGAAGGAAATTTAGTTTTCTGCAATAATGTGGAAGAACTCGTACATCACTTTGATATAAAGTATGACTCATCTGAATGGCGCCTATTCATTGACTCATCTAAGACTAGCCTTAAAGCAGTATTATTACACAATGGAAATAAATTTGCCTTGATTCCGATTGGACATTCAGTGCATATGAAAGAAGATTATAACGATTTGGAAAAAAACAATTATCAAGACCATCAATGGATGATTTGTGGGGACTTCAAAATACTGACAATGCTTTTGGGTCAGCAGGCAGGTTATACCAAATATCCATGCTTCTTATGCTTGTGGGATAGCAGAGCCAGAGAACAGCACTGGAAAGAAAGTGATTGGCCATCCCGAGAAACTTTAAAACCTGAAGAGAAAAATGTTATAAACACTACCTTGGTACCACCAGAAAAGGTTTTGTGGCCCCCTCTCTATATCAAATTGGGGTTGATGAAACAATTTGTAAAATTGCTGCAAAAGGATGGAGACTGTTTCAAATATTTATGTACAAAATTCCTGAAGCTATCAGAAGCAAAGTTGAAAGAGGGAGTTTTCACCGGCCCCGACATAAGAAAACTTTTAACGGACCCTTCATTTGTGGAAACTATGAATGAGAAGGAAAAAGAAGCTTGGGTATCGTTCAAGGACATAGTATGAAAGTTTTTGGGAAATACTAAGGATCCTAACTATAAAACCATTGTGCAACGGATGCTAGCAGCATATGAAGCTCAAGGCTGCAAGATGAGCTTGAAGGTCTATTTTTTACACTCTCACATAGACTATTTTCTGAAAACCTGGGAGCTTACAGTGAAGAGCAGGGGGAGCGATTTCACCAGGATGTCCGTGATATTGAGAGAAGGTACCAAGGGCGATGGAATGTCACTATGCTTGCTGACTACTGTTGGCTGCTTAAGCGAGAAACTGAAGATGGAAATCGGAAAAGGACTCGTCAAAGTATCAAGGAAAAGAAGAAGAGGTTTCATAAAGAACATGAATAAGTATATGTATCAAAATAATGTTTCGTTTGCTTTAAAAAAATATTTATTGTTTGAAAATTTTGAATAAAGGAGTGTTTTGACCAATTTTTTGTTTGAATTTGCAAAAAAATGTGTTAGAAAAAAATGGTCATCACTTTTGAAATCAGCTCACTTTAAAACATATAATTCAGTAAAAATATCTCGTACAGCTGACAAAAAATGTTTTTTCGCAGACCTGTGTTATCTTTATTAGTTCTTTGGTACAAAGACCCTTACGGGTGTAGAACATGTCAATGTATAAAGGAGTTTCGGATGTTATTATTGCTACCATTTTTTTTCTGCTCATCAAAACACAATATATTTTTGTGTAAATATGTTTCAGATAATCATAAAAGGTTTTCTTATTCGAAGTTCATTGTAGAAAATGCTCAGAGCCATGGAAAAAATATGAATAGGTACCTAAAATTGAAAAAAAAACTCTCCAAAAACCCTACGGTACATAGAGAGACGTGAAAGTTGCTATTGTGTTTTTATTCAACTCATTCAACCAATTTCCAGGGCGGTAATTTAAAAGGGAATAATTCACACAATTATAATCGAATATTACCGAAACAACCCGAAATATAAAATTGAATTTATTTTCTCAGTATGAAGTGAACGTCTACGATCCAAAAACTGCAAAAAAAAATACAGGTCCGTATTTAAAAAATTCAAAGATGGGGGTGACCCAAGTCAGATGACGCCCTGTGTGAAAGATTCATGGATATATTCTGAGAGCCCACATCAAGTGTCAATAGCAAAATGTGGACAGATTTTCAATATGTCTGCGAATAAAGAAGATATAGGCAAAAAAATAATTTGGGATTTTTTTGTTTTTCCTGTATATCTCTAGAACCAAAAGAGCTACACTCGATTTCTTTACATCATTGAATAGGTCTCTAAAATACACAACTTTGCCACAATTTAACCGACACTCTATCTCTTATCGTTTACGAGATCCCCATGTACAGAAACGAATTTGAATAGCCCTGTATATTTATATTTAATAAACTTGCAACTAGTAAGCTTTGTCGCCAATATTCAATCTGTAAACAAAGTATATATATAAACAAAAATATAAGCTGGATGGCAGGATAAGTTAGAAAATTTATGTCGGTAACTACAATAAAAATGTTGTTATATGAAGTTAAAAAGATCTATTTCACTTTTTTGGGAAAGAAAGTTTTTGGCTTTCTACTACTCCATCTGATACAAAAAAAAGGGATGAGAGAATCTTCCAAAGAAAGGAAGGAAGTAATCAATTTGAAACATAGGAGGACTTTCTTTCAGTTTGTGTCTGAAAGTTACTTCTTTGTATGATCTACACATTCATGTATAGAGTTTCAAATTGATTACGTCCTTCCTTTCTTTGGAAGATTCTCTCATCCCTTTTTTTAATCAGATGGAGTAGTAGAAAGCCAAAAACTTTCTTTCCCAAAAAATTAATCACTCCTAAAAATATAACCCCTTCAATTCAAATCTATTTCACTATTGTGAAATAACCTTCGGACTCATACAAAATTTTGGTTCTGATATTTTCTTATATATTTCTCATCTTTTTACACCACTTTAGACGATAAAACTACGAACCTATAACATTTATCTTTGCCTTTCCTGCTCTAACCAATTTTTTTTGTAATAACTGAGTGACCATACATACTTGTTTGCCAAAACTGAATTCTTCAGAAAAAACATAAAATTCAAATTTAATAAACTTGCAACTAGTAAGCTTTTACTTGTGTAGGTCAACTGATCACTCAGATAATTTGGCAACATATTGTGTTTAATTTTAAATATAAATATTAGCATATTTAGTGTTATCCTTTGTTGAGCAGACATAAGAGACAGTGTTTCCAACATGTATTCCACAGATGTGCATTTATTACAACTTAATATTGCCCTAATGGATCTGTAATCTGTATCATCACGAGCAGATATATTTTTATGAATCAGACTTACTGTTTATATATATACATATATGTTACCTGGTGTCATGTATTTGTCTTCCTTCACAAATTCAAGCAATTTTATTCCAAAGTTGTTCTCCGAGAGCAACACTAGAATTGGACTATGTGTTACAAGTATCTTGAAAGGAGTTTTTCAATAGATTGCTTAGTCTGACCAATTAATTTTTTGTGACAAGTTTTCATATCTTAAGAAAGGTTTTAGCTTTCTATTTCTCAATTTTCATTTTCCGGAAACGAAAAATATCAATAGTCATTTTTCTAAACAATATACGGCTGATTGATCCCAAAGTTTAGATAAAATAAATATATTTCAAAAAGTCCAAAAACACGCTCTTACAGCATACGAAGCTAAAAAATGAAAAATAAATATAGTTTAAGAAACTACAAAACACGCTTTTAAAGAACATCGAACTAAAAAGTTAAAGATATTTTTTTAAATAAGCTTAAAACAATAACGAACGAAAAATAC